CAATGAAAAAGATAATTTTTTTTTTTTTTACGATTTTTATAAAAACAAGAAAAATAGTAAAATCAAGAGAAACACTGAAATTAAACAAATATCACAAGAACAAGAGAAACACGAAAAATAAAATCAAACACCAAAACCAAATATCCTACTCGCCTTCCCCGGCAACGACGCCAAATTTGTTGTGTACAAATTATTTTTATTTTACCGAGCACCGAATCAAATGATTCGTTTCCCGGGTCGTTCTCTTGAGGAAGACTATTCGGAATTTAGAATTGATATTGATAGCACATAAAAACAAAATAAATCCTAAACATTCTAATCAAGATAGATTGATAATGATTCATTATTAACTATAAATAATATAAAACAACTAAAATAATAAATGACGAAAATGCGAAAGATACTAGGGAATCGGGAATAAATGTTTTGAATCGAAATGCAATTATTGACTTGTGATTGTTCGGTTAAAGAATTCGAGTCACCTACACGTTTAGAGATTTATCCTCAATACCTTTTGGATTATGAGAATAAATATAAACGGTAAATTAACGAGTTATTTAACACATAGACAATACCTTTCGGATTATGTCTATTTTATATGAGTCTCGACGAGTGACCTCTTCCCTTTCGGTTCAAGAGTCAATTAAAATAGACTATAGGATTTTTAGTCGTCTAGTCTATTCGGATAGTGATCGTCACAATAGAACACATCATATTCAATTTGAAAACAAGTTTAACATTGAAGTGTCACTCTTCAATACTTAGAAATCAATTGCAAGGTTGAATTGTCACTTTTCAACAATATGTCATTCCAAAGTAAAAATCAAAAACCGAATTTAGAATTAACTCATACAAAGTGAACAATCGACGAGTACGATAATCACATACGAAATCAAATATTCATCCCTATCCCTAGCACATGATTTAGCTATTCATATAAAAAAAATAAACTCAACATAAGATTCATTGCAAATTATCATTACAAGAAAAACAACTTACAAGTAATCCAAGTCGAGAAATAAAGTTGATACAAACGCCAAACCGAAAACAAATGCACGCCACACCGGAACAAGTACAAGCCTTGGAGAACACCTCCAAAATTCACAACCAAAAGAGAAACTAATCTAAGACAACATATAAGAATGATGGTAGTGGTGAGGATGATAATATTTTGGATTGTGAGGGATAGATGTTGGTTAGATGATGGAGCTATTTATAGATATATCATCAACCATAATCCACCAACATCAACCATAATTTACCAACAAT